TCCCGCGCAGAGGCTGTGAGAGGAGAGCGCGGCCCCGCCCTGTCCCGTACCTGCCCGGACCTCCCAGAGCGACCCCCATTCCCTCCCAGCCCCGACGCCCCTTTAGCCGCCTCTCCCGGGTAACAGAGCGGAGGGAGCTCGGCCTGGGCCGCGGTGCTCACGGTCCTCCTCGCACCCGCACAGGCAGCGCCTTCTTCACCGCCTAGAATCCTGGAGAACGGACGTGATCGTGATGGCTTAATTCCAGCACGTGTGAGGCTGAGGCAGGAGGATCGCTGAGTTTGAGGCCGTCCTGGAACACCGGGGAGTTGAAGGCCAGGCTCAAGTAGAACTACAGGGTGAGATGTGCAGTGAGTCTGGACCCAGATATGTCACCACGTAGTGAGATAAAATCCATGTGGGCCTAAGATCTAAATGTTAAAACAGAAGCCCTTCACCTACTGGAAGAGAAAATAGGTAAAATTCTTTCAGACATACACGCCGAGAAGGATTATTATAAAAGAACCTCTAGTGCACAAGAGATAAAGAGAATCAACAAATGGGATCACATCCAGTTAAAATGCTTCTAGCTGGGCATGGTCACACATGCCAGGAGGCTGAGGCAGGAGGATCTCTGTGAGTTCAAGAGCAGCCTGGGCTACATAGTGAGTTCCAGGTCAGTGTCAACTACATAGTGAGACCCTGTCTCAAAAAACAAAGAAATAAAAACAAAACAAACACACAAACAAAAGCGATTCTACACAGCAAAATAAGCAACAGAGAAGTGACAGCCGGTGGGATGGGAAAGTGTTTGCAGCTCTTCCAGGGACAGAGGGCTGACATCGAGTGTAAAGAACCCCAAAGAATTGGACCCCAAAGGAATCCATGGAAACATGGGCGAGTGATGCAGAGACGCTTCTCAGAAGGACAAGTGGAAAATAAATCCGTGAAAAATGTCCAACATCTGTGCAATAGAGAAACGGGAGTGGAAACCTATTCTACACAGCAAAATAAGCAACAGAGAAGTGACAGCCGGTGGGATGGGAAAGTGTTTGCAGCTCTTCCAGGGACAGAGGGCTGACATCGAGTGTAAAGAACCCCAAAGAATTGGACCCCAAAGGAATCCATGGAAACATGGGCGAGTGATGCAGAGACGCTTCTCAGAAGGACAAGTGGAAAATAAATCCGTGAAAAATGTCCAACATCTGTGCA